ATGATTGATCTACAGGGGGACGTAGTTATAACAGGATTTAAATAATGTGTGGAACTTTTGTAGATCTTGGGCAGATCTCTAATAAAAAAACCTGCGATATAAAAAATTCATTCGAAAAAAAAAATCAGTTGAGAATATTAATATTTAACTTACGATAAAACCATTCGGGAGCACAAATAAAATTCATGACAAATAAATAATAAATTTTTATTTATTTTGTCATTTAAAAAATATTCTCAACTAAAACTCATTATAAAATCATTCGAGAATTGATAAATAAATTAAAATCATTAGAGAATATTTTAAATGAAAACTTATGATAAAAATTCATCCAAGTAAATTATTGGTTACAAATACAGAATTTTTCTAATTCTAATCAAAAAAATGAGCCCACATTAATAATTTGTTTAATACTAGAATATCGATTTAGCCAAATTTGGGCAAAGGACAAGTTAAAAAGTTCTTGATATTCATATCAAGCAACATTAAAAAAAAAACACGTCCCTCGCCTTTTAAAGAAAAAAATAATCTATAACCAAACCCCTTGCTATAACTAGAAATGTTAATTGGTCCTTAACCGTCCGGTCCGGTCTTGGGATCGGCAATTCTATCTTAGGACCGGACCGAACTTAAGTCCTGAAAAAGTCCTAAGCTTTTTTTTTTTCAACGTAAAATGTTTGTAATGTTGCGAGGTAGCTTTTCGGTCAACCTCGATTATTTTATGTTTTATGGCCGATTTCAGGTTAACTTTTTAGCTACACTCGTCGATTAATTGCAAGCTTTTATATACAATGTTCGTCAATCAATTTATTTTACAAAATTATCTTGCTGCCTTTTTCTTGTACCTAGAAAGCTTCAGTGAATTTGTAAGCACAAATTTAATTATTTTTGTTCCGCTAATAAAAATATTAAAATATTAAAATATTAAAATATTAAAACGAAAGAGGCTAGGTCACATATCCAACATACAATTGGATGGATGGCACTGATAAATCCGTTTTATTTATCACAATATTTATAAAACTTTGGAATATAATTCAAATTTTATTAAGAAAGATCCGCTGTTCCTATAAGAACCGTGGTTCAAAGTGACTGGTCTTTTAAGACCTATAAAAATCGTGGAATAAAAGTAAAGAAGGGGAAAAGCATAGGAGGAAACCATCAAATCTTGATGACAACTCAATTTGATATTTTATTGATACGATAAATCTCGGATGATTTACCATTTAAAAATGGAGTTGTGAATGAAAAAGACATGGATGAGAGACATGGATGTAATTAAAAGATCAAAAATTTTTACATTATTAATAATAATCATAATAATGATAAAATTATTCTAAACTACATGAGATATTAAAATTTAAAATGTTAGCTACTATTTCTATAATAAATAACATAATATTATATTGCTAGCATTAATATTCTTAATAAAAAACAAAAATAAATTATTTTAAATCATATTGAATTTTAATTTGTTTTATTAGACGAGAATAATCTTCTAAATCATAAGAACCTTCATCATCTTTAATATTTGAAATAATTTGTTGTTTTGATAACCAAATCTCAAATCCATTTTGTGCAGGACACATATTTGAATAATAACTTTTTATCATTGAGATTCCTCCAAGTATCTTCTCACGTGAATTGAAATCAACATTTTTAGCATTTCCTTGATCATCAAATAAAGTATCTTGAAATTTTTTACACAGAGTTTCCATCAATGTTGAAAATAATGTTAATGAATCTTGATCTTGATTTTGATCAACGTGAGCTACATTAAAAGATGGTAAAGAAGTAGTAGAAGTTGATTTAACCATATTGGGATCTATAAAATCTGATATAAATACAGCAAATTTTGCTTTAAATTCATTGTCATCAAATTTTGTGTAGACATTTGTCAATGTTTCTAACCCTTGGTTATTTTTGATGAATTGTATTGCATACTCATTACCACGCACTAAACTTGATAATGCATATAGAAGACGTGAAGAAACTTTAAGATTATTTTCTTTAGAAAATTTATCCAATAAATATGGAACAAGATTTAAATTAATCGCATTGTTTTGTGCTGATGGATTATTCTAGAAATAAATTTATATTTATATTTGAAAAGATATTAATTTTATTG